TAATCTTGCCATTATTTTCACACCTTACAAGGTAGATTTTGAATATTGCAGCCTCTGCTATGGTTCCAAAGAAATATTCCTAAAACCCGATGTCTGGAGTGGATAACATGGCTCCCTGCCCTTAGGAGATGAGCCCCCAAAGTGGTCTGATGGCGTAATTGTCGCCAGTGTGCACATTTCTAGGAGCCTTTGAAGTACAAGACTGAGTGAAGATATTGAAAAGTCCAAAGAAATTTAAGTTAGAGTCCCTGCCTTTCAGGATGTCAGAATTGAGTTAAGGAAATAGGACAGGTTGCAAATTACCTTGCAGTTAAAGACACTATGGGCAGGCTCAGCTTTTTACCACTTAGACATTCTCTTCATTGAATTCTTCACAAGTTGAATGAATGATTATTCATTCAACAGGTATGTACTTGAGTGAATAAATATTTGTTGGCCACACGTCCATCCCCCTGTGGTCCTTGGGCCCCATGCGGGTTCCAAGGTGAATTCAATGTGAATTGAATGCAGTTGATGTTGTGGTTGTTCTGGTGGATCTGACCACTTGTGTTAGACTCTAAGTGCTCGTCTCCAAATCTAGACCGTTATTTCATTTGTGTCGATTTTGAACCCAGGTCATAAAATTTTCTATGGATATTCAGTTTTTCTTCCTGTGAGTGCTTAAAAAGAATATTTTCTCTGTTTTCAGTAATAGTTGTGCTTTCCTTAAACAAACTCTGCGGTCTTAAAAACACTCCAAATCGTGTGAGTGATCACGTTTCCCTTTTTGTGTGAGCAACTAGATAAATAATTGAGAGCCAGATTTGTATCCTTCTCTAAAAATGTACAGAACTATACAGCAGGCGTTTTGTCCACTAGCTTTATCTTATCTCTCCTACTTGATTTTCTTTTATTCTCTCTTCCTTTCTGGCTATGTTAAATTTTATTTTATCCTGTTATACTTTATAAATTTGTTCTGCCTTGAATAAGTTGGTATAGATTCATACTTCGGCTGCTTCTTGCAACCTGTAAGCCCAAATCTCTAGAGGTGGTATTCACCTCCAAGTGAATCCTCGGATTTGGCCCCTCTCTGTGGGCTTCTGCAGAATCGTAAATGTCTGTTCATTCCTCCCATCTCACTCAGGCTCTGCATTTATTCTCTTGCACCAGATTTTAGATTGAGTCCAGCTTTCATGACCCAGATTTGTTTTATAGGCGGGCCTCATGATTATGTAGTCAGATCAAAAGAGGTCCCAGCAGACAGAACACACTTGGCTGAAATAACCTGGGTAGACCATTGAAAGGGCCATGGAGCTTTGTGTGATGTCTTGTTCATTGTAAATTCCCGATAAATACTTGCCAAGTGAATGCGTGAACGTAGAGAAAGCCAGAGTAGTACTCGTTATTTTTGAAGCCTTAAATGGAAGTTTTGTCTCACCGTTTAAGAATCTTAAATTCAACATATTTAAATACATGATAATGATAACATATCTTAAAATCATGTAATTTTCCACAACAGTTTTAATATCCATGATGCTTTACCTGTTATTGACTTAGCATATCTTTGGAACATAGAGGCTTGATAAATGTTTGTGGGATGAATGGCTAAGTGGGTGAATTAATGAAGGATTGAGTGCATTTCGCTGAATCATTAAATACCTAGGTGGGACAATATTATTTCCCCACATCACACATGAGAAAACTGAGGCTCACTATGATGATGCCTGACAGAGTTAGAAATTAAATTTGGAATTGACTGCTATATACACTGCTCTCTCCTCTAGTTAGCATAATATCCAATATATAATTTGTATATCATATGTGTAGTATAATTCCATTCTTCCATGGAGCCATGCTTAAAAATATGGAGTCATTAGGGCGCCTGGGTGGCGCAGTCGGTTAAGCGTCCGACTTCAACCAGGTCACGATCTCGCGGTCCGTGAGTTCGAGCCCCGCGTCAGGCTCTGGGCTGATGGCTCAGAGCCTGGAGCCTGTTTCCGATTCTGTGTCTCCCTCTCTCTCTGCCCCTCCCCCGTTCATGCTCTGTCTCTCTCTGTCCCAAAAATAAATAAACGTTGAAGAAAAAAA